CACGCAAGCAAACAAGTTACGCGCCAAAACATGAAATAAACAAGCCAATTGACAATGTAACCCAAAGAAAACATGGAAACTTAGGGAGGTAAATGGTCGAATCATAAATGTACCCTTTACAAAATTGTAATAAATTTACAATAAAAATAAAACTAAATAAATAAAACTATTTATTCCTATAAGGAAATGTTTAATTTAACTGAGTAGAAAAATAAACTAAACCAACTTTATTTGGTTCAAGGTAAGCCAAGAGTTATCAATGCAATTTTACATGTTATTTCCTTGAGGATTTTCCTCGTGCAATTACCATAAAATATATCCAATCAACATAATTTCCCGACGAAACCCAATGTAAATTAAAGAGTAAAAACACAAAAATCTTTCAAATTAAAGCCTTACTTAGGCAGACGGCAACAACAATTTGTACATCTCGTTGTTGTAAGTCGTTATTTTTCTCAATTTTTGTGTCTGTGTGTTTTTTTTTAAGCAAACTGTTTGCCGTTGGCGGGTTTTCCTTTTAGACAAGAACTGGCCGGGCAGAAATACGAATCTTCTAGCTTGGCAACAGCCCAACTATTAGCAAACAATTTTTGATTCGATTACAAAACCAAAGACACACGCACAATTGCGGGAGAACTGCGGGGGTTTTTGGGAAAAACTTGTTAAATGCAGCATCTTTTTTTACGACTCTTTTCACAACATTGCAGTGCGAACACATTCGTCAAGGTGGCGTAGATGCCGCATAGGAAATCCAAGAGGCAAATAATTAAAATAATAAAATTAACCAAGCAAACATTATGGACAATAAATTTTCTTGGTTTCTTATACGACACATTAAATGCTTGATGTTTGGCTTTTATTTCTTGTCTTCTTTTTGATTCTGCTGTGATGATGCCTGATTTTCCTTTTGGTTATAATTCTTAACGTGTTTTTGGTATTTTCTTGTTTTGATTGGAATTTATTGCCAGGCCTGTCCTTGCTGAAATTTGTTAAGAGTGTGTTGTGCAATGCATTTGTTGCATTTAATTACAGCATTTATGATTTGAATTGGGAGAAGAGGCCGAAGGTGGCGGCAGGTGGGTTAAAACGTTTTAAAAGACATACATATAAGCTTATTTCAGCATTACAATATAATTAAACATTGGCTATTTATAAGGAAAATAAAAGGAGATGTCTGGAGTAATTTTAGACTTCAAACTCCCAGCTTATATTCTCACGAAGATCGACGGATTCAAGGCGATCCAACTCCGAAAACCTCAAAAATCAAATCAAAGCCATCGAGCTCATCAAGTGCATGGCAAAATTAAGAAATAACCAAAAATTCACAACGAAAAAAATTAAAAAATATGTGGAAAAAAGAAAAACAAGGCAACAACAACAAGAGGCCAACGGCCAGACAATCCAATCAGTTTCAAATTAAGGTTTACATATGCGAGAGTCGCCGCCAGCAGCAGCCGCAGCAGCAGCCTGCCAGTCCGAAATTGACCAACAACCAACAAAGTAACCGAAAATACAGGGGCAGGGAAAACACGAGGAAAACATCTAAGGAAAACCTGTCCGGCTGTCCGCTGTTGGATGAACTCTGGCGACGCCTCGAACGCCTTTGCATTCCCATGCCGCCGATCAGCAGATGATAATGATGACGGCGGTGTGGCGGAGTGGTGCCACTCGGTGGTGCTGATGACACCGACTTGGCTTCACGTTCTTTTTGCATGCCACCGATGTGACATCCGCATCCACAACGCCTCGTGATTAGTGGACATTGCACTCAAAGGGAAAGGAATAGCATAGAAATCGAAATCAAAACAAACGTGGCGAAGGAATGTTGAGTCAAAAACAAGGGAAACGAATTAAGGGTACTCATTATTATATCAGAAAATATTGAAATACTTTCAAAATAATACTGAACTAATGTTTGTTTTCAAATAACCATAGTTTTCTTACAATATATTTCCTTAAATTACCCCAATTATACCATCCTTAGATATTATCATATTATTGTTATATCAAGTTATAATATTTTCATACCTAAAGACAACAAAACATTTAAATCTTCTTTTCAACAGCTCTCAGATAAATCATATTACTTATGATTTATCTGGAATCAAATTAAAAAAAATGCAATAAATATTTCATTTCTTGAAACTATTCAAAGTTATCACAAAGTTATGGATTCACTTATCCAACGAAATCGAGTTTTACTTGGATCAAACTGGAATGGCTTCCTCATCGCATGTATATGTTTCACCCATTAAATACCCAAAACTAAGAGCCAACTATGCGGAATTAAAAACCACTTGAAATAATTTCAACGACCCGGGGACAAGTTCTATTCCCGTTTAGACCGAAATACCTCCAATTTGGATATTGAACAGTCCGTTCGGGAACGAGAAGGAGGAGCCTGCGACTGGGATATAAATCGACGCTGGCTAATTACGCGGCAATTGTTTAAATTTAAAATAAAGCAGACGAATTTAGAAATTATTTTAGCAATGCAGAAGCGACCGGGAGGGGGACTAATGGTAGGAATTTACGCTTTCCGTATTTATTTTGGGCTTTTTGGCATCGTGTGAACCAATTGAAGAGCGCATTGAACGGCTCGAAGACGGCCTGCCGGCAATTAATAACGAAACACGCTCGCTCTCACACAATCAATATAATAAATACAATTAATCCAGACAAACTATAATTATTACGTAATTGAGGTGGGTTGCCCATTTGCAGCGCTTTTATTATCCGCCAGATTTGTGTTTCTTTTGATTTCTTGATAACCCAAACGAGGGGAACTGGAACTAATGCTGGTCTATGGGGCTATGGTTTATGGTCTTTTTGGTCTTTGGTGTATGGACTACAGACACTCTGCCTCGTTGATGTCTCTGGCCAACGGCCATCGGCAATCGATCAGCGATCAAGACAATAATGGATACTCCCCTGCCACCGGGGCCCCTGCATTTCGTTATAAAATTCGCATAAATCAACGCAAATAATTAAGCAGTCGCAGAGCACAGTCCCCATGAGACGCTAATATCGAGAGTTTCCTATCCATCTGCCCATCTGACGCGGGCCTGCCTCTGCCTCATCCCAAATACAAAAAAAAAAAGAGATCCCAAAACAAAACAAAACAGAAACCACCTCGAAACACACGAATTAACAAATTCACTCTTGTGGTTTTTACTCATTCGCGTAGTGCGAAAATGGACAGCCAAAGTGCCAGACGAAATAGTTGAGATAGGTTGGAGTTGGATTAAATATTGGGGACTAGCTCGCGGAGAGAGCCCAGAAGCACTTGGAATCGTTTTATCTGGGATTTATGACAGCTTAATTGATTTAATTGCGTCTAATTTGTACTAAAATCTTTTTTAAGAGTCATAATAATAAGCCTACAAAATTGCGGATAAAACAGACATTAGAAGCAGGGATTTTCCACGAGAAAGGCAAGCACATCTTTCGGGTAAACAAGCTTTTATTTTTACACAACTCTAAGAAGTTAAACTTTCTGCTTTATAAATCTGCTAGTCTAAACTCACAATTAGGGGAACTAAATGTCCATCAAATTTAAGAATGGCTTCAAAGTTCGTAGAACCTTAAGACATGCAAAAATGCCGAAAAGCCTCCTCTAACCATGTTAGTAGGCTACAAAGCTAACGCCTCTCGATACACCTGCGCCGCGGGCTCAAACTTCATGGTAAATACTCGAAAATATGTTTGTACAAAATATAAAAAAAAAAAAAATACAAAAACGCAACTCTTGGCAGGCGACTACTGGTCTTGGTCTTGGTCTCTCTCCGCGATGGAGTTGCTCCGCGGGCTTGGGTTTCTTCGGGGCATCTGAATGAGCAATGGCCAACAGAGGCAACAATCAACAATGGCCATCCCGACAGCTGCCGCAGAGATAACTCACAACGCACGACGGATCGTGAATAACTATACAATGAAGTAGCCTTTTTTTCTATTTTTCGGGTATCATAGATATGTGAGGTTTTTTTTCGAATATATATTTTTGCATCATTTATCAAGCTCATTTGGGTTGGGGTTAATCAGAGAGGGAAGCGAAGTTCATGGAGATCTTTGTCCAGGGAGGTTTATCAAACAAACCACACTTGCATTGAACAGCTATATAAGAGCACTGAACAAAAAAATCGAATCTGCTGAATAAGTGAGATTTTAACTACTTTTAATATTATATTGAAAATCTTAAAGGGAACCCTTTAAACTTCTATAGCCAATTCGTTACAAGAGGCGGAATATATTGTTTTAAGTTTAATCTACAGATTAATTTAAGGTCACAATTTATAGGAAAAGTAATCAACTCCTCATATGTATATAAATTTTTTACTGTGTTGCCAAGGCAAACGTTTTATATTCGCTTTGGGCCATGTTGAAATGCAATTGGCTACGCCCAGGAGATGTTGCCATGTTGAACGGGGCGTATGGGCAATCAAAGCAAATTGTGAGAGAAAAGAAACAATATTTTCACACGCCCTGCAGTGAATATGAAATAAAAATAAAAACCAAAATAGAAACACTCGTAAAAGCAGACAAAAAAAAAAACTAAAATCAAAACTGCAAAGGCTGATGACTCGTAATTGTTTTCGAAAAACACACATTTAGCCAACTCATCCGTAGCATCCGAACGACGTCATGAGCACGTGGCCAGCTTAACAACAAAAATACAAGAAAAACTAGTGCCATAGAACTTATTCCGATCCAATTATGATATATATGTATAAATGAAATATAGAGATGCAGCTGACGCAAAGAGAGCGCCATCCCCGAAAGACTATTTCGTCATTGTGCTGGCAGTTTGAAATTTTCATTTTCGATGACGTTTCCTGCACTCGTGCCTCGGAAAATACTGTGCAAATTGTGTGCCGCGTGTAATCCGTTAAACTGGCCGATTTCATGGCCCCGCTGGCGTCATGAGATTGGGACTGTGCGGCCCTTTCCCCCCAGTCCCTGCATCTGTACATCTGCATATATTACCCATTGGGACACCTCACCTGGTCAGCGGTTCTTCGCCAATTTGTTGTGCTCGGCTCTGTCATTTGCTGTCGGACACTTTTTGGCGCCCATAGCCATTATCACGATATATGGTGTACTTATAAATAGAGATCTCAGTTTTTGCCACAGCTAATAGTCTCAGGATGTGCACAGAGAATTAATTTCAATTTTAATTAGTAGCGATCGAACACAGTTCTGTTTACTGTTTATGAATTAGTTAATTATTTAGAAAAAAATCTATAAAGTTTTGCTATATTTCACACATTCTTTACACGTTTAAGATGATTACTCTTTAATCTAGGTATCAATTTAAATAATTATAATTATATAAACAAATTTAGAGTATTATGCAATTAACACGGTAATACACCGCAAGGTTAAGGCTAAAACACAACTTAAAATCAAAGCTAACCGCACCGTATTAAATAGCTGACTACTGGAAAACACTTAATGAGCACCGCTAACACCTATCCACCTAAGGTATAGACGCTTAAAGAAGCGGCTAACAGCAGTGGGTAACCGATTTTGGCCAAAGCAAATGAATTGGCAAAGCCTTTCAAGCCGTTGCAGCGCCACACCAGCGGCGATTAAGTGGGCTCAATAAAACGGATACTGCAATGCAGCGCGCCTCCCCCTTGCTTACCAGTTCACCTGTGCATTTGTTCACCCCTCCCCCAGCAGAAGAAACCGCCAACAAACGCCCACTCACCTGTGCAAAGTACACAGCAAGCTGACGGCTGTGTCACTGCCGCCATCGATCTTCCTCCCAATGTTTGCACTTTACACAGAAAACAGGGCTGAAAATCTTGGTCTTTTGTTACTTTCGTCTATGGATAACTTTTAAGAAATTTGTATATAATTAAAATGTTAAAGAAAGTTATAGTAAGAGCTTCTGTTACCCAAAACGTCAAAAGTCTGACCTGTGAGTTATATTTATTTTCAATTTAAACAAATCTCTGAATATCCCTATAATTGTTTTAAATGTATTACCAATTTAATTTAATCAATAAATAATTTCCCCTTTTCGCTTTGTGCATTCGATAATGTTTTTATTTGGTTCTTCTCTGGTTATTAATAAAAATGCATTGCTGGCTATCCCTCGCCCAGTTGTGTGAGTGTGTGTGTGCCCCTCCCCCCTTGTCCTTCGCTGCATGGGTGTTTGCTGTGTGTTTATTGTGCAGCTTATAAATCATTTTGCGTCAGGCTGCGTCCGCTGCCGTCTGCTGCCACTGCGACGCTTTGCTGACGCTGGTAAACATGTGTACAACACAGCACCAAAAAAAAATGGGACGAGCTGAAGAGGAAAATCTATACACAGACAGACACACACACACACATTGTGTCAGAATAACAGATATATTCATTAAAGGAAGAAATAAATAAATAGTAAATGTGGTTTAAATTCAGAATTGAGTGGTTATTGTGTTTATATTTTAATACTAACTTAAAACAAAGTATTCTATTCTATTCTATAATCCTAAAAAACCCTTTCCTAATTTTAATCAAAAACTTTTTTCAAATAACTATCACTATTATTTTGTCCACGACTATCTCCTGATGCACTCGTATTTTGTACTATTTGTTCAATATTTTCACCATTTTTATGATGCACTTTGAGCACTTTTCATGCAAATTTATGTCGTCATTGTGCGTTGTCTAACCCCCGCAGTCACGCCCCCTTTTTATGTTTATCTTGTTTTCGGCTATTTTGTTTTTTGCATATTTTCTGGCTTTTTGTTTTGGCCTGCCCTCAGGCGGATTGAGCAAACAGTTAGCGGAATGCCGGCGCTTCTTGAGCGATTTGGCAATGGGCGCCTCATATTGCGTATACGCCGCGTGTGCGATTAGCGAGTTAGAAAGAAACGCTAAGGAAAACCCATCACCGGAAAACTAAAAGGTACATACACGTGTTTCCATTGGCAAAAAATTGGCTGTTGTTGCAGGTGGTGTTGGTGGTGGTGCAGCAGGAGGAGGAGGATGGGGAGGAGTTGGTGGTGGAGCAGGTGGAGGAGATGGATGAGCTGGAGGACGAGCTGCACCAGGCCAGGTGAGTGATATCGCAGCCGTCGGGAAAGAGATTGCGGCAGGGATATATTAGAGGCGGCAAGGGCGGTGGCAATAGGTGTTGCTGCTGATGATGCTGCTGCGGCTGATGTTGCTGCTGCTGGGTGTGTTGCTGCTGTGCGTGTTGCTGTGACTGAGTGTTGTTGTTCAGGTTCTGCCGGTAGCAGGAATTATTGTTGATCTCGTGATACAGTCCCCCCTCGTACAGTGAGGCCTCGCACTTAATGGCCGGCTGATGATGGCTGCCGATACGATTGCTGCCGCCTTCTTGCTTCACCACAATCAGCGAGGCAAGCCGATCGCGCATTATATACTACTATGATCTTCCGAACGAATACAAGTACCACAAAAAGGCCCAAAAATGATGCACAAAAATCACACAGAACACGAATACAACACAGATATCACAAATATATGAAATATATCTTTATATTGTATCTAGGGAGGCACACCTGTTTGGCGCCCTGAGCGGCGCTTGTGATCCAGCACGGCGGTCAGAGTTTTCCGACTTTCCCTTCTCAATGCTGGTAGTTCTTGCAGTTTTTGGCTTTCCTTTGGTGGCAATAGTTATAGTTATAGTCGGGCTTCATTGCGCCTTGTCCTTGCCACAGCTGTTGTTGTTGTTGTTGTTTGTCCTTAGACTTGAACTTGCTGAAAGACGGCTTCCTTTGCTTTCCTTTTTTTGATTACTTTTTCGGCGGTTGCGCAGTGAGCCAGTGACGACGTAAGCCAAACTGGCGACGTAATGATTTACGCACGTTATAGTATATAGCTCGGGTATATGTAGACATGTATTTATATATGTAGTAGTAGTAGTAGTAGGAGGCACAAGGACGTTGCTTACACTAACGCGCACACACACACAGAATCACCAATAAAACTTATTGTTCTTCAGTAGCACGTGCTAAATGAAAATCTTTTCCTCTGTGTTTCACTTTCTTTTTTAATAAAATCCTTCCAAAATGTTTTAAGCAAAAAATAGCTCTCTGTTTCCAAAAGTTAAATGTTTTAACTCAAAAGTAATAGCTTGGTAAGCGCGCACTTTAAACTGAAATATCAAGCATACGCAGCGTTCTTCAATTATTACACATACGCCGCGTTGTCGCCCGGCTTCCGTTTCCGCATAGAACAACAACTTGTTGCAATTGTTTAACTTTCGAGAGTCAATCGAGGGGTTTTTCTTTTCTGTTTAATACTGAAGGCGAACGATTTTTGTGTGGGTTTTGCTTTTGTAGGTTTAGAAGAAGGTTTGGTTGGTTTTGTTGCTGTCGGGAAATTCACAAAAATTCTAAATTCCTGAACTTCCGCAGAATAGATTCTCTGGATTTTCGATTTCTGGTTTTCCGCTGGCTGAGCCGTGGCTGTGTGGCTAAAAGTTGTTAACAATGCGGCGTCTGTGACGCGACTGAACTTATCTTTACGGTTACACGCGACTATATTCAACGCCAGAGCAGCGCTGCCTCCGCCACTGGCTACGTCGCAGCTGCTGCGCTCTCGCTTTTCGTATTTTTTTTCCTTTCGGGTTTTGTTTGTGTTTGCCAGAGAGAGCGAGTGTGAGCGAGTGAGAGTGACACGACCTACCTTTGCGGCCTGGCTATTACGTCATTGCAGCCATGGTAACAGCGCAGCAGCAGCGAGGGCAACAACAACTAAGCGCAGCTCGTGCGAGGAAAATCGATGACGTCGTCGGCAGAGCGCCTGCGCCGGAAAGTCCCCCCAATTTTCCCCGCGCTGTCTCGCAAAAGCGGTGCAGTGGGACAGTTCTCACGCGAAGCAGAAGGAAAAGCGAAAACGGAAATTATGTGCGTCATAAAGCAGGCATTGGCCATCTCTCTTTGTCGCTCTGTCGAGATTGATGGTTGTTCTCGTTTCACCTGCCCAGAATTTGCCCACCTTATCATATCCACCTCCCAACTCTCACCCATCGCCACCCACTTTTCCCACAGAATTTCCCAGTCCAGTCTGAGCTGTGTGTGTGGGCATCCTTTTGCATATCATTTCACAGAGGGCGCAGGACTTGGTCCATTGTGTGTGGGTGATGTTCACGGAAATATATACCAGATTTCCGGAGAATATGTTTATTTGACTAAAAACCCACGTGTGTGTGTGGGCTAGAATCTGGCTGGCAAACAAAATCTCTTCTTCTATGTTGCAAAGGCGTTCAGGAATTTCCAGGATAATAAAACAAGACACATAAAATTTAATTGCTCTAATGAAGGGGATTTTCAATTAAAAAGGATTACTTTCTTAAGTGTAAAGTAGTAGGTACATAAAGATAGCTTAAGGGGGAATTTAAGCACATATCTTACATTCTAAATATATTGTTATATATTTTATTCTAGGTCGCTGTCATATAAATTACTTTCTTTAATAAATGTACGCAATCTTATTCTTTAAAATATAAAATGCAATAATACACATAATATTTCCTTGTTACAGTCAAGGTTTATAATTTTTACCCCTCTTTTCAGTTTAAAATTGTAGCTCGTTCCAAGACAAATCCATTTCACACAACATCGCAAACCAATTTCCAATTCGTTGGCCCTTTTTCCGTCATCCTACCAACCCCGGCAGTTCATAAACTAGATCATTCATTTCTCATCCTCTATCACAAAAAAAAAGTGGAAAATGTAAGTGAGCTGCACCACAAATCATTTAAGCAATATACCAATAACACGATCCAAATTTTCCCGCCCCCACGCCCGCTCTCTCCCGCCGGAAAAGTGGTAATATTAATGCACTTTACCATTGACACCGGCGTTTGCAGCTCGTAAACAACAACATGGAAAATAATGCCAAAAGCCCGTTGAGATCTTCTCTTCCAAAATCGGCGAAATAAAACAACCAAATTATAATCCCGAAGACCCAACGCAGGCTGCGCTGCCTGCGTCGATGCCACAGAGAGTGAGAGTCTCGAGGCTCGGAACTCGAAACGAAGCCGATTCTTCGTGCCTTCCGAGACTCTTCGGAGACTCGTCTTTGGAGGCGGTGTCTTAGTAGGTGAGGTCGGCTCACAAGTTTCGATTTCATTCGGCTCTTCTTAAGGCCCGATCGTCGCAGGTTCGTGTGTTCGGTTGCATTCGCTGTGGCTATTTTTAGACAGGTTCCAAAGCCACGTTTTCTAACTGTTGTTAGCGTACGAGCCGAGATCGCGGACTCTGGAGATGCCGAGCTCTCGGGCTCTCGAGCTGGAAGCCCCAGACAAAACGTGAGATCGCTGGATCGCCCGACTGCTGCGTCGACAGCGACGTCAACTACACAGAGCAAAAATATTGTTGTTTATAAATTTTAAAAATTTGTTGATCTTTTAATTGAAAGGAAAATGGAACTTAAGATAGCAAAAGTCACTTCTCTAAACATTTTTAGGGTATTTTATAACTTTTCTTAAAATATCTTCGAGGTATTTTTTAAAATAAATATTTAAATGTGATCCTTGTCACCTTAAGCTTAACTTAGGTATCTGGTTAGATAAAACCGAAACATATATATTACCCCTAAGCAGGAGACCTTTATTATCAAAGATAATTAATGGAAATTTAATCAAAGTTAATCAATTAAAATTTTCTTTTAATATTCGTTTAAAACTCCCTAAACAATTTAGAGATTTTCTAAACAAAAAATAAATTTTAATAAATTTAATAGCTTATTATTATAGCTTAAGTTTACTATCTTGCTGAATATAGTAGTTATAAATCTCTTATGTAGTATTATTTAATTTCATTTTTTTTCCAGTAAATGTTTTTCTTCATTATTTAACTGAATTTTTCTCAATGTAGGGCAGCGACAGAGGCAAAGGCAGTGGCACCGACTTTAGTTTTTTGGGCGCAGTGGCTCTTCCTTTCGTTTTGGCTAGATTTTTTCCCATAATGCTTTTGGCTCGGGTCTCTGGGTCCGGCTCCGGCACCGAGTCCGACTTTGGGGCCCGACTTCAGCCATGGCTCCGGGGGATCGGTGTGTAATGTGGTGAGTGGTGCAGTGTACTGTGCTGTGGTGTGGCTTCCCATGTACATATATATTAGTTGGATTTTGGGGAGCGACGCAAGTGGAACTGGTCTGTGGCAGGCACCAAAACCATGCATGTACTGCCGCCAAGGCACAGTGGTTAGGAGTCGCTGGAATGGGTGGAAAATGATGAGGCTTTAGGGTCTCAAAGGGATTGTTGAAAGGAAACGATTTTTCGGTTAAAAGTGACATCAATTGGTTGTCATAAATTAATTAAAATATACATATTATATTGTATTATATTGTTGGGTTTAAATGTATATATTATTTTATTTAGTTTGTGAAACAACTAAATCCTTAAATCCTTAATCCTCGCCTGAATTAATCTAAAAACCGCCATATCTTGTACATTACTTCCACGTAAATTTCTAGTGCAATCTTACCAGATTTATTATCTGAAGAAGATGTATTTTATTTGCAAACCAATTATTAACTGAACTCGCAAGAAAATAAATCGCTTTCCCTTAATCAATATTGGAGGCGAACCACTGCCGTGAGGCGGCTGCTTCTTGCTGCTGTTCCTTTTTGGCGGCCCAATGGAGGTGGAGGTGGTTCGTTTCTGATGGTATTAGTGGACCTAGTGGTGCTAGTGGTGCCGCTGCTGCTGTTCGCTGACCCGCTGGTGGCCCCAAAAAGTGCATGCAAACAGCTTAGCGTTGGAGTTGCTCTCCGCCGTTTGTTGTTGCTGCTGCTGCTGCTGCTATCGCTGATGTTGTTGCTTCGGCTTGTTGCAGTTGTTGTTGCTGGCAAAGAGTCTCGATGGGTATTGTTGTTGTTGGCGGTTTTATTGGCTGTATTAAGCATGACATGCCAAGCCAAAGTCGAAGTCGCAGTGGAAGTCGAAGGCAACTTTTGGCACTCCTTGCTTTTGTCTCTCTCACTCCCTCTGCCTGGGTGCCTTTTGTCTATTATTTATTGTTGCTATTGTACTTGTAGTTGCACTGCGATGATATTCTAAATGTGCCGAGCCAAATTTGCTTCGTTTTGGCCAAGTCCAAGCCAAGACAAGTCAAGCCGACCGACTGGGCCTTAATGCATGTATCATTTTCGCATCGTTGCGCGCCGATGCCGCCAGTTCGTGAGTTTAATTTAAGGAATTTTTGCTCTTTTTGATTGCTATTTAGGCTTTGATTTTCTTGGGCCGCCCCCGTCCTCGTCCCCTCGAAAACTCCCTGTAAATTTCAATTAGCATGCGGCACTTTGCATTTGCAACGGCGCCTCTTGGCTCATTTGCATAAATTGCATTTGGGGATTCGCCAACCCTTTTTGTACCCAATGCACTTTCGATGTGCGCCTTGCCCAGAAAATGGTGACTTCCTCTGGGCTAACTAACAACAACAAAATAATCACAACACAACACAACAAAAAAAAAAAAGGAAAACATAAAGGAAAACGAAACCGAAAACGAAAACTTCGCTGACTGCTTAGCCTGCAGGTGCATTTTGCAGCGAATTATTGTCATTATTACCATTATTTTTTTTTGCCTTTTTTTGGGGGCTCCGTTTCTGACTTCGTTTAGCTATTAATATTTGTAACTTTACATAAATATATAGAGGCATATTCCTTTGCCGTGGCAATTTTGTGCTATTTTCTGCCTAAATAACATTTTCAGTGCGGGGGAAACATGTCATAATATCATCAAGTATACGCCCAGTTGGCATGAGTCGCTCTCACTGGCATCAGAAAAACTATGAACAAAAATCGACGAACCCAATGGGGCAATGCACATTTGCGGTTTTAAGTGGGTTAAGTCGATGGTTAGGGAGATGATTTACGGACTCACAGCTAAATTATTATGACTAGATTTCAAAGAGGAATTCAGGGAAGACAGGTGAGCTGCCGGTGATTAAATGTATGTTGAAATATGACTTCATGTTGTGCATGTGTTTAGAGGTAGCGAAATTAATATTTGTAAATATTTGATATTAATAAAACATATTTAAGGAATCTTTAAAAATATACTAAGTTTGTAAATTATACAAATAAATATAAGTAATAAATAATACTTATTATTTATTTATTTACTAATATTTAAATTTAATTGTACGTTTTTAAATAAATTGTATACGTGTTTTATGGTATTGCCTTTAAATTCCTCTTTGACTTTAAGCTTTTTCGAACGTAACTCATTTCCCCGAGCAACCGCACAACTTATCCCATTTATTCCTGACAGCGACGACCTTGAGAATACATTGCCACCCGCTTTTTTGCCTTTATCCCTTCTCTTATTCCATTCATCCTTTCCTCCACCAATCCCCCTCTGGTCTTGCCGTCTTGGAATTGAATTCCCTACGCAACAATCGACACGCAATCCCGCAATCCGGAGGCAACGGAAGGAGATAGGAGCGGCGAGCGGAAGTGCGGCATTGATTTTATGGTCTGCTTCCGTTGCGTCTTGACCGCGTCACGTCTGCAAGTTGCCATGGTTGGAACAGCACTACTCTTTCCCCTCCTAACCTCTGCAATTCCCTGGCGTGTGGCAGTCTAGCATTTTCGTCACGCACGCCCCTAAGTAGGCAACACTTTTGGCGTTTTGTTTGTCCCTTGTTTTCGTTGGGTCCCTGCACTGAAAACAAAAAAGTAAGCGCAACAAAGGTTACTATTTAACTTACACATAAATAAAAAAATTATAAATCTATATATGTAATCATTTTATAGCACAATTATTCCGTTAAAATTCCAATTAAATATTGATTAAATCTTGAAACCAGAACCAAAATTATCTAATTATACCCATATTTTCTTTTTATATATTTCCACATATTTACCCTTTCTTCTATTACTTTTCTACCGTGCGTATTTGGATTTGGGTGCCATTAACTATGTTCTGCCGGTATCTCCGACCGGCTGTGTGTTATCAATTGAATTGAATTAACTGACGCAGCTCCAGCCCCCCTTTGGATACATATAAATGTAGCTGCGGTTATACATGACGTCGGCACAACCTCGGTCACTCACAAAACCCACGGAGTTTGGCCAAAGGGAGACACACAGATTTTTACTGTGTGTGTCTTTGACCTCAGCGGACAAGCCCAAAATTATAGATATGGCCGTCACATATATGTATATATCATATGTATATACCACACATCTGGGTGGTTCGAGTGGATAATGCGTGTAAAATCAATAGGAGGATCTGGGTAATGGGCAGAAGAGTATGGAACACGGCACTAGTAATGATTGGGTTGTGTGCGACCTGGTCCTGTAATTACTTTACCTAACCATTCGGCCCTAAATTATGGGTGATGACAGTGATTAGTGCTGTGGTCAGGTCCTATTTCCTTACTGTCGTTTAAGTTCAAGGGATATGGAATTATTAACGAAGTTTAGAAAGTTTACGTGGGTAGTCAAGAAACAGATAATGTAATATATTGTATATGTTATATTAAAATAACTTAGAAGGGTTATCCGAAGGGTTATGGCCCAGAAAGTGAGCCCAAATTTAAATAAATATCATAATCAGTTTAGAGATTCAGAAGAAATGTGTCCTTTAAAGATATATTGTAATTTAATACACAACTTTAAGCCATAGATTTAAAGACAGAAAAGATGACATCCAAATTATATATTAAAAATTGTTAAAAATAAAGTTTGTTTGTATTTTGATTTTAGTTTATCTGAAATTTTATTTCAAAAGATTTTATGTTTTCTTAAATACGGATTTCTGCTTAAAAATGAATTAAATATATTTTATAAAATAATAATTTATCTATTAGCTTAGCTATAAACTCTAGTTAAAAAGTCTTAATAAATAAAGTCCATTAGATGTACTAAATTGTCTAGACAAATGTATTCCCCCAAGCCCAAAACGTACATATACACTTTTCTATTAGAAAAATTGTATCTTATTAGCGCCGCATCTCATTATCCTTCACAGGCGGTTCCGGTTTGGCTTGCGGTCCATCGCTCATCAAATTAACTTTTTGCCAATGATCAATTTCCAGCGTTAATTGGCGTTCATTATTTATAGCTGGCTGGCTTTTCTCGTGGCACGCATCTAATGACGTCACAGGGGAAACAGCCGAGGCAGAAGGCAACAGCGGCAGAAATCGATTGGCGAAACAAAGACGTCATCAATTTTGTGCGCAGGACATGCGCAATCGAGCAGAGCGAGACAGCAGACGGTGGGCATGAATGAATGAATGAAATTGTAGTGTGTGTGCCTTAGTGTGTACAGGTGTACAACGAACGGCGAGCAGGTGAAAATAGCCAGACCAGAGCGGCGGCTGAGGAAAAACACCGGCCGGCGGCGGCTGAGTTTTCCCCTCAAGTTAGCCACCACTTCACTTGGTGACGTCGCTGTTGTTACACTAGTCATCTCGCTCTCGTCTGACGTCACTAGTTGCGGTTGGGTACAGCACCCACTCATGACGTCATTACTGTTGCCCTGTGCGCTCCATTGCAGCCAAAGTGCACGGAAATAGCCAA